TTTCAATGCGTATCGTGTTTTCGATTCAATGCTTCATCAATCGAGCAATTTGTTATTCTTTTTCACAATAACATCCAAGCAATCAATTTGTTTTTATTGAATTTTCCGATTTTTACGCCAATTCGAGCCGATTGAATAGATGGATGGATGAGTCAACAGAAACATATCTAAATATTTATGTATATGTATGTATACCCGTATACATATATGTATACCACATACAATCATATCTAATACAGAAGTTTACCGTTAAATATATGTGCGTGCCTGCGTGTGTACAGTACTAGATTTGAGAAAAGGGTGAGACTTTCATGAAGTCATTCAATCGTCCGCATGCGACATTTCTTCACGTACATATGTATGTATACATATTTGTCCTTCGTTCGTTTTTCTGCAATTCATTCAAACTTTCTGAGCCTCAATACGTGTGATGTCCGGCGATGTGTTGCATACATACATACATATGTACATATGTTAAAGTGCCAATGCGAACATTTTACAAAAGCAAACAAATCTACGTGTGCCCTGTATACAAATAACCTATCAGAGTGCTGTCATTTCTGTCCACTTTCAGTTTGAGTATGTGTATGTTTCTCCTTGTATCGGCTGTCGACCGTTTTCCTTGTTTATTTCTTTTCACTGTTTGTGTTGTTGTTTGTTTGATGCATGACAAATGGTTAATCATACGTTGCGTAGTACACATTCCGTTTTGTCACTTGTCAAGCTACATATTTTTCCTACTCATGTTCTGTGCACAAGCAAAAATGTGCGCGCTCACGTATCTGAAGAATGGTTAAGCTTTCACTTTTTAAGTTTAAAATGAGCACTGAGTAGATTGTTTGTAATTGAAAAATAGCAATTACGCAATTGACTGTATATGTATTTGTGTAACATACTTGCATAAATTTGTTTGTACATAAATGTTTACACATACATATTTGCCGCTCAATAGATAGATAACCAAAAAAGAGACTAAGGAAATAAGAGCAGTGAATTCTCGCTCCCCTTAGCAATTGTGATGACATTTCCATTTCAATTTCATTCCAATAAATGCTTGCAATTTCATTCACTTTCATTGATTGTCGTTCTTTGTGGTTATGGAAATTTGCACGTAAATGAAAATTAACTCAAATTGATTTGGAATAAAGAGAAATAGTGCTTTCACGGAGAGAAAATGATTTTACTTACTTATTCTTTATACCAAAATAGAAAATTCATTTCCTTTTCTCACTATGATGCATAATACATACCTAGATAAAGGAAAGAAGCGGGAAATGATGAACAGACAGAACATGTTTTTTCGTATGACGCACTATGGAAATCTCTGCGGCAAAAACGTCGCAAAAATGCTAAATTTCGTGAAAGCGTTCTAATATATGTACGTATCTAAGCAATATAAAATTTTCCATAGATTAAGAAAATATAACTTTTATTAAACAGGAACTAGTAGCTATGGAGTGCACTGGGTTAAAGTCATTGTGCGTAGTGCTGGGTACGCAGTTGAAGTTGCACGACTATATCTACACAATCCCAACCCTTACGTCGCATTGTTCGCGCACTGTGGGCAATGGGAGCAACCCATGCGCGAGATGCTGTAACCTATGCGAGTGGAGACTCGGGTCTCGGCAAAAAGAGAGGGAGTTTCAGTAGGGCCACTCCTTCTTATTCGGTTTAAGAGCGCACTGAATTCTCTAGTGTCTCGTAAGCGTCTCACTATATAAACGTATATTCCGAGGCGAATCCACCCCCGTCCCAGCAATGGGTTGCGCGCTGTGTTTGGGATCCGACACCTAAAAATAGGCTCCAATGAAAATGAGACACAAAGCCTCGGCTGAGAAGTCCCCTTCTGACGACGACCATGGCAAACGTTTAAAGGACTGCGATTTGATGGCATGCGCGTGGCATTCATGGCTGGTTGATGTCCTCGTAAAGAAAAGAGCTGACATCTTCGCCATCCAAGAAACGCTTGGGGATTTTGGACATCTACTACAGCTGTCATGTAAAGCAGCGCAAATTCGGTATTGCATTTGTGGTGGGAGAGATAATCAGTCGCCTAAAAGTGAAATTCTTCAACATCTCGCTAATCTCATAGTAATCCCATGTCCAGACGGAAGAGAGGGACGAGGGGTCCAAAGATATCTCCTATGAACGCAGACTCTGCCATGATATCAATTTCAGGGTGGGCAATGAAGGGATCTTTGGAACAACCGTCGACAAATTCATCCTCCACGACGAAACGTTCGACAACGGACTGAGGCTGAACGACTTGGCCGAGCCCGGAACATGTTAGTATGCAGTAATAGGTTTGAGCATAAAAATATCGATAAAGCTACATGGCTGCATCCAGGTCGAGAAATGAGAAGTAAAATCGATCATATTGAGATAGACGGAAGGCACGCTTCAAATGTTTTGGACGTACGTACACTTCGAGGCCCAAACATCGACTCGGACCACTATCTTGTTGCAGCCAAGATACACATCCGCCTATGTCCAGCAAGAAATGCGTGCCCAACAAAGCAAGAAAAGCTTACAGTCAAAAAGCTGTAGTCACAATAGACGGCCAATGCTTTCCCAACTCGATTCTCGCACCTACTCTAAGAGAGCACTCTTCAACAAACTGACATATGGGCATTCCCATGGTGGCGCACGTGACAGTCGTACGATTTCAATGTGATATAAAAAAGGAATAAGATTTGTTTTCTTGAACTTTTTTTGGGCCATTGTATAGCACATAACCAGCTCTATACTTAACCAAAAAATGAAATCAATCGAACTGCTTGGTTTTGAAATATAAGCATTTAAAGAGAGTGTAGTTACGTGACAAAAAATGGAAGTTGATTATTTCTTTTCTTACAAAATCGCAAAACTCTGCGAATTGTGGATGGCTATTTTCATGAAACTTATTTTAATATGATTTGGAGCAATTCTAGTTGTTTTTAGAGTTTTTTGAATTAATGCAAATTGTTTCAATTCTCTTTTACAACCCCAAGTGTGAAACGTGACGTGACGTGGCGTCACGTGACATAAATTTCCATCGTTATATTTTTGTTAATATTGCTTTTAAATGAATTTTTAACGCAAATAAAACATGTATTTTATGTAGAATATACTTTATATTTTGACTTCAGCGCCAATTCAGGGTCAATTTATTAGAAATCTATGATTTAGTATGTTCCAACCACATACGCCAAAATCGCACCAAATCGGACCATAAATACGGTTTTTCGAAATATCGCGACCTTGGCACCACCTAGGAAGATCATTTTATGCAAACATGATTCTACTTACATAGCCAGTATATATTTTAAAAAGCAGACAAATCGGCCCGTAAAACTTATAAAACTTTTATTTTTTTGTCGTGGTGGACCTTCCGCTGGAAACACCCATATGCGAGCAGTGGAACCACATTTCCTGTTTATTAAGTACCGCCGCCGAAGAAGTAGTCGGATTTCAGCGAGCCCGAAATGACCACTGGTACGACGAGGAGTGTCAAGAAGCTGCAGTGAAAAAAAATTCCGCCTACAGAGCCAAGCTGTGATCGGGCGCAACGCGAGCTATGTGGTACCGCTATAGGGAAATGAAAAGTGAAGCGAACTGTACTTGCCATAATAAGAATAGAGAGGCCGAAATACGTGGGTGCAAAGAGCTTAAATGCTGGCCGACAGGAACGCTCGAAAACTCTCTGCCTTTTTCTAGTTGGATAAAGAACCAAAGCTCTTGGTTCTGGGGCCAACGAAGACAATAAAAATCATCGAAAAATTTGTAAGCGCATTCGAGAAAGTAGAGAATTTCGTTTACTGGGGAACCAAAATTAACACGATGAACTGAATGAGCTTTAAAACGACATGGACATGGTGCAGCGAATTGAAATTCAGCGGCTCCGCTAGCTTGGTCATGGCATTCGAATGGACACCAACGCTGTAGCTCTGAAAGTATTCAGATCGGAGCCTGCTGAAGAAGGGGAAGGACTTAACTTCACTTGGAATTTCATATTTCATAGGAGTAGTTTAGGAGGCAGAGCCGATGAAAATTCTCGTTCTGAACGCCACTTTTTTTTTTTGAATTTGTTAATAAATCTAAATCATTTGGTTACGAACTATCAAAATTTAATTTGGAAAAATCTTTATAGCTACGATAGTTTTTGTATAATTGAGTTCAGGAATAGCTCATTTTAAAGAAAAAATATATATTTATATTTGATTTAAAAAAAAAAGAATTATATATGGGTTTATAACATGTATTGGGTGTGATTTTTAACCAAAACCACCATAACCAACTGGGACTTTTCACGAGCTTTTTGGTTAACGGTGTCAATGGTTACTGTAGAGACCTGTAACGATGTCAGTGTGAATGTGAGAAACGACGATACTGGGGTAGCGAGTAGTTGTTAGTTCAGTTGTATACGGCGTGTGAGGTTGTCAAGTGGAATCTGAACGATCGCAAATAAATACACTTTTCCTGTGCAGTAGCATAATTATTATCTTATTATTTAATGCGAAAAGTAGAGCAAAGGGTAAGTTATTACAGTGGCGACGAGGATGGGATGGAGAGATGCCGAAAGTTAAAGTGAATGGCTTTGGAAAATTTCTTCTGCTAAGCACAGGTTGCGAGCACAAAGATGGCGGCCATTTTTCTTTGCAAACTTTCGGTGAAACTTGGTGAAAAGGGAAAATCCACTCGTTGTAGACGGAGTAACGAGTACATCCATGTTTCGTTTCAGATTAATTGGAAGTGACACATTAAATTGTGTTACCATTCAGAGTGTGCGTGAGCGAGTACGCTAGTGACTGCAAAAGTCTTACGAAATATTACAAGTACGGGCAAGTGCATTCAATTGTCACATGTACGAAAACTGTGAAGAATTCAGTATTGGGAAAATTATTTATACGTAGCGAGTGCGCGAGCGGCTGAAAAAGTCTTGCAAAACAAATTACACCACCGAGAGGCGCATTAAATTGGCATATGTGAACAATTCAGGGCTGTTGGAAATATTTATATAAATATCGAGGCAGCACATTTGATTGTGCAAATAAGTATGTATACACATATTTCAAATGTATAGAGCCATATAAACGTATACATGAAAGCGTAAGTAACTCATTTTGATTTCAGATTAAATAGCGAAGAAGTCAACAATTGTAGAACCGGGGGTGGCGAATTAAATTTTGCAAACGGGAACATAGAAATACGCTGAGGGTGACAAATTAAATTTTGACAACAACATCAGGCGTAATATCGGCATATACATTAAAAGCGCATACGCCAAAAACAAGTAATCCATCGAGATGGAAATCCGTCCATTCTTGTGCGAAAGTATTGACAAGGCACTCATAAGGTCAGAATGGGAAAAGTGGTTCCGATCATTTTCCCTATATCTTCAAGCCGAAGATATAAGTGATGCAGTAAAGATGAAAAATAAATTGTTGCACTTGGGCGGCCCACAGCTGCAAGAAGTAGCATTCAATATTCCCGGTGCTTTAGTCGAACAGAGCGAAGGCGTAAAGCCTTTTGACGTATTAGTAGCCAAACTCAATGAGTACTTCTCGCCGAAACGAAACTCCACTTTCGAGAGACATCTATTCAGAAATTTATCACCTATCGAGGGTGAAAACTTTAACAAATATTTGTTACGTCTCCGACATCAAGTGTCAAAGTGCGAGTTTGGCAACACGACAGAGGAAATAAATGAAATTTGCATTAAAGACAAAATCATAGACTCATGGGCCCCAGTCGAGCTAAAGAAAAAACTATTAGAGAAAGAGCAAAGTTTAAGTGAGATAGTGGACACCTGCCAAATCTATGAGCAGATTGCTAAACAATCCGTGTCAATGTTTCCCAAATCGGCAGAGGAGGCAGTAAATCGAGTTTATCGCACAGCGCGAAACATGAAAATGATGAGTGTGGAAGATGTGGCAAAAAGGGGCATCGTAGTAACGACTCGAAATGCCCGGCGAAGTTAGCGAAGTGCAATAAGTGTGGGTTAATGGGACATTTTGCCAGGAAATGCAAAACCAAGAAACGTAAAATTACTGGCAACGAACAAAGCTCGCCGAAGAAAAGACGATCAGAAACATACAAGGTGCGAAATGTTGAAATGGACGAAGAAGAGGAAGAAGTAAATTGTTTCAGAATTTTCAACAACTCATCTATGGACGAAAAACTGCTATGTGGTATCGGAGGCTGCACAATACCGATGATAATAGATTCGGGCACACGCCTGAATTTGCTGAGCGAAAACGACTGGGAAACGTTACGAGAAAATGCGGCAGTTTTATGGAACGAGAGAGAAAATTCATTAGCCCAATTCAAAGCCTATGCATCAGATAATGTTCTAAACGTGCTTCAAGTATTTGAAGCGCCGATTACAGTGAGTAAGAAGTCAGAGAAAATAGCAACTTTTTATGTTATCAAGAACGGGTGCCAATCATTACTGGGACGTGACACAGCTATGCAGATTGGAGTTTTAAAACTGGGTTTAGGTGTAAATCGTGTAGAGGTTGGGCAACCGTTTCCAAAGATGAAGGGGGTCCAAATAAAACTATCAATAGACCCTACAGTCAAACCTGTACAACAACCAATGCGTCGCGTACCTATTGCATTAGAGAAACAGCTGGGAGATAAGATTGACCAAATGCTTGCTTTAGACATCATCGAGCCGGTCTCGGGGCCCTCCTCGTGGATATCGCCGATAGTCATAGTGCATAAAGAAGGTGGAGAAATGAGGTTGTGCATTGACATGCGGCGGGCAAATCAAGCCGTACGGCGGGAAAACTATCCCCTTCCCACTTTTGACACTTTCATGACCAAGTTACAAGGCGCAAAGTTTTTTTCACAAATCGACCTTAAATGGGCATACCATCAACTTGAGCTGGATGAACCTAGCCGCTATATAACTACTTTTATTTCGCACAAGGGTCTATTCAGGTATAAGAGGTTAATGTTCGGAATAAATTCAGCTCCCGAAATCTTCCAACGGGTAATAGAAAAACTGCTATGTTCCTGTAATAATGCTTTTAATTATATAGACGATATTATCGTATTTGGTAAAACTGAACAAGAACATGACGAAGCTGTAAAAAGGGTAATCGACGTTTTTAAAAATAACAATTTGCTGATGAACGAAAAGAAGTGCATTTGGAAGATACGAAAGTTAAAATTTTTGGGCCATCTTCTTTCTGACGAAGGTATAGCACCTGACCCCGACAAGATTGGAACAATCAAGGACTTCCGAGCTCCACAGTCAAAAGAAGAGGTGCGGAGTTTTCTGGGACGAGTGACATATGTGGGCAAGTTCGTTCCGGACCTCGCCGATACAACAGACCCATTGAGAAATTTAATAAAATTAAACTGCAAATTCAATTGGGGGCAGAGCGAACAGAAATCGTTTGACAAGTTGAAACAGGCCCTATCGAACATACCTAATCTTGCTTATTTTAACCCTCAGAAGAGAACGCGTGTCATAGCTGATGCAAGCCCAGTAGCTCTAGGGGCGGTACTTCTGCAAATTGATGATCAGGATGAGGCACAAATTATATCGTTCGCGAGTAAAAGCTTGTCGGACACGGAAAAGAGGTACTCGCAGACCGAGAAAGAGAGCCTAGCACTAGTATGGGCCGTGGAGCGATATTACTACTATCTGATGGGTCTGGAGTTCGAGTTGGTTACCGACCATAAACCCCTTGAAACCATTTTCAAACCCACGTCAAAACCTCCTGCCAGAATAGAGAGATGGCTCCTCAGGTTACAACCTTTTAAATTTAAAGTGATATATAAAGCCGGAAAAGAAAATATAGCGGACTCGGTGTCCAGACTATGCAAAATCCAGCAGACTGACTCATTTGATAAAAACTATAATCACGCAATTTTGCACATCATCGAAAATGCGACACCTTCGGCTATGAGCATTAGCGAGGTTGCANATATTAGTATTAATCGATTATTACTCTCGGTACCAAGAGGTAAAATTTTTAAAGAAAATCACGTCCGAAGCAATTATATCCATCTTACAAGAGGTGTTTAGTCGACTGGGCATACCAAACTCAATCAGAGCGGATAATGGCAGACAATTTACTAGCTCAGAGTTCAAAAGCTTCTGCGAAAATTACAACATCACTTTAATTACGACGCCCCCATATTGGCCCCAAGCGAACGGAGAAGTAGAAAACATGAACAAGTCACTGGTAAAGAGGTTGATAATAGCGCACAACAATAAAACCGACTACAAAAAAGACATTGAGAAGTTTACATTGATGTACAATGTTACACCCCATGGTACAACGGGATCGTCACCCACAGAGCTGATGTTCAATCGAATTATCCGCGACAAAATTCCTGGTATACAGGACTTAACCGACGACATGTTGGATTCAGCTGCCCGAGATTACGACATCATAAACAAGCACAAAGGGAAAGAGAAAGCGGACATGAAGCGAGGGGCTAAAGAAAGTGATATTGATGTTGGAGATAAGGTTTTATTGCGGAACGTGATATTCTCACACAAGCTTACTCCGACATTCGATCCGACAGAGTACTTGGTGAAAGAAAGGAACGGGAGTGAGGTGACTGTAACAGCTGGTGGAAAAACGTTTAGAAGAAATATTAGCCATATAAAAAAGCTACCAATATCTGGAACAGAAGTAGGTGGCGAACCTAATCCCCACATTTCCGAGGCATTGCAGCAGCCCGGAGTACCCCCATCAGATACTCGAGCTAGCGCGGATTCAGCTGTGGGAGCGGCAGTTGAATAACTGTGAGATCAACAAAAGACTGAAAAATAAGCGAGAGATGTAGAGACCTGTAACGATGTCAGTGTGAATGTGAGAAACGACGATACTGGGGTAGCGAGTAGTTGTTAGTTCAGTTGTATACGGCGTGTGAGGTTGTCAAGTGGAATCTGAACGATCGCAAATAAATACACTTTTCCTGTGCAGTAGCATAATTATTATCTTATTATTTAATGCGAAAAGTAGAGCAAAGGGTAAGTCATTACAGTTACCAACTTAATTTTAATTCCGTAAGGGCAGTGGGAGGCTTAGGCTTTTCAACGAACATGGGACTATAAGAGTCCGTTGAAAGTTGTCCCATTTATGATAGTTTTTTTTACCGAACATGCGGATTTTCCGTTTTTCAAACATAACTTCAAATTTTGAAATTCTGTTTGAGTCAAAATTATTTTTTAGACTCGCTCTACCACTTCTACTAAATAACATAGAAAGAACATGCAACCATTTTTTTTAGAACCGTGTTGTTTATTTTCAACTCATGAGTGCGTTTCAAGTTTCACAATTTCTCCTTGCAAATAAAAAGCTTCTTAAATTTCATAGCGGTTCAATTCAACCAAATATTCCATAAAGTTAATACATATAAAGAATCGTAACCAGTGGTTCGAATTCGAGGCCTGTTAAAGCCAGTTGCTACTTACTTTCAAGTAAAAATATGCACATGAAATTAAAAGGTTTCACTTATAAATATATATCGGATATTGCAGCAACGAAAGCGTTTCCGTTACCAAGTTTTACTTTGTTACTTTTTTAATACATTCCTTTTTTCAAGCTATTGTTATTGTAATGTATTTCCGATCGGCAGTAACTGATAGTTGAGGGCACAACAAAAAAATAGTACTCATATAGATAGTACATCGAACACATAAACTCTACGACAGCGGAATCAATGGAGAGCACAGCAAACAGCGCACAACCATGCAGGCAGACAAACATGCAACAAAAAGCCAGAATGGATGGCAATTGGACTGCCGTGAGTAAATCCCTTGGATTTCTTGCCATATCACAGATTTGCTGCGGCTGTAGGTACTGTGTGTATGTACAAACACATATTGCTAACTTGGAGCGAAAAGTTGCTAAGTCAAATTTTACAAATTTTATAGGAGAGCTGCCAGTAGCCATTTTATTCAAGAATTTTGCGAAACCTTTAATACAGCATTTAGCGTGTTTAAAGCAAAGCAAAAAAAGCCTCAATACGAACCAAAAAAAATTCGATGCTAGTTAAGGCATTTTATTATTTTGGCCTTATCGGATTTTCTCTGCTTCTGCTGGACTTAGCAAATTTGCCTTTTATTCAATATAAACGGGAAAAATAAAACAAGCACCCTAATCCTTTTGAAAACGATGCGTTTTAAATTTTCCTTGGTATATCAAAATATGAATTTTCGAAAAAGTAGACTTAGCAACTGTTCACTCTAAGCTAGCGACATATCGAGTCCTAGCCGCCAAAAAGACGTAAGCGACATTTTTTTTCAAAATTTTATTTTTGATGCAGAAGTTTATCAAGTTTATCTAACTAAACTTTTCTGCACCAAAAATAAAATTTTGAAAAAATGTCGTTTCGTCTTTTGGCGGTTAGGGCTCGATATATGTACAGATGTGTGTATTTATGCATGCGGACATAAAAGTGTATGTATGTATACATGCAACAAATACAAGTATGTGGGTAAGTCGCAAATGAAAAGGTAGGTACGTTGTAGCAGAACAACATCCTTGTTAACTTACTATCTGTAGGTGGGTGGTGTACAGCGCTACCAGCTGGGATTACTCGAACGTACCCGCGTATAGCCTGAAATCAATGAAACCGGGTATAAAAAATCAGTTTTAAATTCAATGTTTTCCTCATGTATGGTAGGAAGGTTTATATAAATGCACACATATAGTGCTTCTCATAACAATACGACACCCACATATTGATATGTTCTTAATAAGAAGTGTGAAATTTTGATGAAACTTTGTTGATTTTTTTGAATGTTTTGTACAATGATTGAAACTTGACTCTCTATGCTTATTTTTACTTATAGAATGAACTATATTTTTATAAATGGCGGCCGCAGTGGTGTAGTGGTTAGCAGTGCGCGCTAGCATTCCGTAGGGCCTGGTCATCAAAAAAAAAAAAAAGTTGTTTTCTAATAGCAGTCACCCCGCGATAGGCAAAGGCAAACATCCGAGTGTAAATA